GGTGGGAGGTGACCAAAGCAGCAAGAAGAAATCAGACAGAAAATTTCCCAGCTCTACTCAGTAGTAATTCTGGTATAGCAGGGGCTTTCCACAGGAAGTGATGCCAGCAGAGCCCAGGGCTCTGTGCCTGGTGCACTCTCATCCTGAGGCCAGGGACAGCCGTAGTCCCTGCCCAGGTGGCCTGACTCCCCGCTGCCAGTCAGTGAGTGAAGCCTGACTGCTTCTGTAAGCTGTGGCTTCTGTGACAGCAACAGAATGGATTTTCTAAGGGAGAAAAATCTATCGTGAGGGCGATGATACACTTCTAAGAAATCAGTGGTATTTAATCCCGAATCCATTTGGGGATCACAGTGTCAAAGATATTTTTAATTATCTCAGATTAGGTTTGGGAGGACTTGCCCACCCACGTAGGCCTGCTGGAGTCTCTGAGAGTAAGCACTTCAGATATTTACCCCCAGCTTTAATGACAATAGTGGCAATCTTTTCCTAACATAAAGGTTTTTCTTTGTCTCTAAATTTTGGTTTTCCATGCTATCAGAAGTCCCATTGGAACAGGTAATTTAAGTGTTGGTTGTATGTTTTCTCAATTTGTAATTGTGGTAAAGTGCATTTAAAATGTCCATCAATTTGTAATGAAGTTTACCTGTAAGGTTCCTTCCTACACAGATGTTTTGTCAATTTCTTTTTTTTCTTCTTTCTTTCTTGCTTTCTCTCACTCTTTTTCACTTTTTCTTCTTTCTTCTTTTCTTTCCTTCCTTCTTTCTTTCTTTCTTTGTGTTGCCGTTGTTGCTTGCTTTTTGTAGTTTGAAGCAGCAGTCCTTGGGCATTGTCCCGTGTGTCTGATGCGTGTGGGCAGGAATAACAGACTAAGAGCTGAGAGCGTGTTTGAAGTCATACAGTGATTCCACCCAGGAAGCTCACAAGGCTCCCAGAGGTTGGGGAACTTGGGCAGGGTCACAGCTGCCTGGTGACAGGCACTCTGACCATCACCTACACAAACACTTAAAATTAGCCCAGAAGCTCTCATTTGAAACTGTAGACTGCAGGCCCGGTCTCTAAGCAAACAAAAAAAGAAGTTAAAGTATTTTGAGAAAGGTAAGCTAGGTATGCCACACTCAAGACAAGAGACGCCTGACACAGATGTATTATGTCAGAAGGAAAATGTCGGGCCAGAGAGATAGCTCAGTAGTATAAGCGCTTGCCTGGCAAGCACAAAGGCCTGAGTTCAATCCCCGGTTCTGCAAAAATAAATAAATTAATAAAGTCCCTGTTTAAAAAAAAAGAAAGAAAGAAAATGTCCTCCCACTGTACCAAAATAGGAGGTTTTGAACAGTCTCAAAATTTGAGACTTTCAAGGGTTTTAAATTAAACCCAATTTATTTAGACTCTCCCTAAACATTCCTATTGTTCTCCCCAAAGCTGGAATCATACTTGAAAATACGACTTTGGATAGTTTCTTAACTTCTGCCAGGCATGAGGTGCATACCTGTGATCCCAGCACTTAGGAAGCTAAAGCAGGAAGATTGCCCTGCCTGGAATTCAAGGCCAGACTGGGCTACACAGTGAGCTCAGGACCTGCCTGGACTAAATAGGAAGACTCTATCACAAAACAACAGTAATATCCCCCAAAATTTTATTCATTTCACACTGTAGATATTTTCCAGTGTCTTGGAAGACAGTCTCCCTGCAAGCAAAAGTACTTTCCCCGTGGAAAGGCCTCAGGCAGGACAAGGGCCTTAGAAATGATTCCTCTAATAGCAGCTGCAGTCTGAGGCGAGGTGTTCTGACTGTCGTTCAAGGTCATTGACTTCCTGTTATCACTGAGGCCGAAATATTTAAGAAACTCCATGGGACTCCTGCAGAGCCAGATCAGTGAAGAAACCTGATTATGACAGGAATCCTCAGGGTCCTTTGCTGGGACAGCTTGGTGGCCTGCTGTTGGCATCCGCTCCTATTGGAGCAGCAGGGCTGTGCACCCTCTTCCACCCTCTCCTTCCTTAAAGGCATCTGTCCACCAGAGCCAAGGTTTACCCATCATTATTCTCTTAGCAAATGCTCAATTCCTCGTTCAGCACACATTGGGTCTGTACCCAGGCCAGAGACACAGTGTTAATGGCTTTGTCCTTGATGATACTGAGCAGAAAAACAGCAGCAGAGGCTAGAAACTAGAAATCTCTGAGGTTGAATGGCACATGCAGGGGCCAAGAGCATGGACAGGGACAGGAAGTGGCAGGGCTGGGAAGATGTGAGGTACAGATCACTCAGGAATTTGGGCTGATCCTTGCAGGGAAACAGGTGGGCACTGGGCATCTTCCTCTGGGAGCAGCGTCTTGTGACCAGCCTGGGGCTCCAGCAACGAGATCTGGGCAGAGGCTGTGAAGGGAAGCCTGACGCGCAGGAGAGGACTGCAGTGATCTCAGTGGGTAGCTAAGCTCAGAGCACACGCAGAAAGGGGCCAACTGAAGACAGAAAGGTGAGGAGGGTGGGTGTGATGACCCAAGAAGGGCCAGCTGGGCGCCCTGAGGTGTAAGATGTGGGACAGAAAGGAAGGCTAGAGAGGTCAGAAGTGCTAAAGGTGACGAGCATGTGAGATGGCCATTCAGCAAGAGTCATGTGGTGTGGCAAGCTAATCCAGAGTGGACCTGGGTGTATAGGGGAAGGATGGTGGACACTAGAGATGGCCCGAGACCTGCTCTCTGGAGGGGAAAGAGGACAGAGCTGTGGCCCGAGCAGCATGGCGCAGGGCAGAGGGTTGGGGGCGACAGTCACCCACCCGTGACACAGTGTGGAGTGGAAATGAGAAGTGACTGCTGAGCTTAAAAACATGAAGTCAAGTGTGACCTTTGGGTGCTTTTCAAAGTTTAAGCAGAGGGGATTTAGCTACCTTGTGAAGGCACCAGAAGAAGTTGATAGCTCACCTTGGTGATTCGAGATTTCCTTGCGTGCTTGGGAGGAAGAAAGAGAGTGAGGTCCAGGAAGACCTGAGTGGGTATTAAGGATCTTCTCCCTGGATGACAGAGACTGGAAGAAATCTTGGTTCTTTTTTCCCCAGTAGTGCGTGGCTCATGGGTTTCAATAAATGGTAACCTTTAGAGTTGTCATCAGGGAGGTTATTGTTTTTAGAATAGGGAAGAAAAGACAGCTATCTGTAAAAGAAGGAAAGAGCCCCCCCAAGGGGTAATTCACAGAGGTCTGGAACAAGGGTTGATGGTGAAGACAAAGTGGTTATTCCTGGAAAGGGGAACAGAGTTGCAATTCTCTGAAGAGGGAGGGGAACTTGCACCTCAGTGAGAGCAGAAGAGACTAAAGGGACACAGTGGTGGCCTCCACCTTCTTGTACAGAGCATGAAGGAAGCATGAGAAGGCATGCAAATGGATGAATCCCTTGTCTCTCTCGATACCTGTAGGACTTAGTGTGTACTGTGTTCATGTTTTATAATGAAGAATCAATCGGGAAGATTAAGTGAGTCACCCAGGAGGTTCCTACTGGGAATGGAAGACCCACTAAGGGCCAAACCAGTACAGCTCCAGAGCCCATGTGCTCCCTTACTTTGAGATGTTGAGGTCGTAGTCCTGCACCCCTCATGACCATCCCCTTGGCAGCTGCTCCTGTCAGCAGAGTGACAGGCAGTAAATTTGGGGGGATCAGAACTATGGGCCCTTAGTCCCCAAGGACTTCGAAGAAGAGACAGAAGTACTGAGCAAAGCAGCGCTGAGACTCTTAGTGCAGGAGGAAGAGTGGGGAGCAATAGTGTGGGAGGACGGAGTGTCCCTTATGGTCCAGGCGTAATGGTCCCCTTCCCTCCTCCTCCTCCCACAGCTCCTGAGTTTTCGGTCTTTCCAGGTTGGAATCAGCCTGGGGTCTACAACTAGACACACCTCCCCTTTGAGTGGCATTCATCCCCAGTGGCAGAGGTCACATTCTAGACTGATAGCCATGGAGGGGGAGGAGTGGGACCTAGCCTTCTTTTCAGAGACAAAATAGCAAAAGGAAGAATTTAGTCAGCTTCATTTGCTCTCATCTCACACAACTCTGTATTTTAGTAAGTTGCCTTCACTAATTAACATTTTATTCATGTCTGGATTATTTAATTACATACTCATTAAAGAATTAATCATAGAATGCCCACAGTACAGTAAGCATTATTGCAGGCACTGGAGAATAGCTATGTTCTAATGGGGAAGAAATCAGCAGGCAGAGCTCATCAGGAAATGTGCAGTAATTCAAGGTAACACGTAGAGAACAGCCGAGGAGCAGGGAAGGTAGGCCAGGGCAGTGGAAGCTCCAGGCAGGGGGCTGGGTGACTGGTAACCCTGGCACAGGTATCCTGGGGCTGTGTCCCAGGCAGGCAAGAGCACCGCACTGTGGGAGCTGTCCAGAGCACAGAGCTCACTCACCTGAGCAGGTGCAGAATGGCACTGACAGGATCAGGTGACCGGGTCTTCTGAGCTTGGTATCCACCTGGGCTTTGAGGGTAGACAGGCACTGAGGGTCAGTGTCTCTGCCTTGGTGTGTTCTTGCTACTGCTTTCCAGCGCTGAGGGTCGCGTGCAGCCCTTCACACCCGCTAGTGAGTGCCCTTCCCCAAGCTGCGTCACCAGCCCCTCCGTTCTGATTCTAGCAGGGTCGTTTCCGTGTCACTGTCCACCATGGAACTTTTTAATCAAGTGTACACAGAAGAGGATAATAAGCACCTGGCAGTAATTACTAAGCTTTATTGCCTTTTACTTTTGGAAAAATTTGAGCAGGACAGAGGCAAGACTTGGCCTGACCAGACTTGAACAGGGCTTCTGGGCAGAAGGGAGACAGCCCAGAGATGGGCGCTGGCTTGGAGCCTGCGGTGGAGCTGGCCAGTGAGGGCTCCTCCTGAAGATCTGACTCCGTTCAACACAGATTATGCTTCACTCCAAGTAATGTGGGGACACATGCAGTAGGAGAATGAGAATGCAACAAAGCAAGGTGCCTGGACACCTTCACGTTCTGCTTGAAAATGTGCCCAGGCCCCTGAAGACTACCCGGCTTGAACGTGAACATTTCCCAAGGTTTGTGCACGTGTGCGTGCCGTCCACTCCTGAGGCCTTCATGGTCTGACGGGATGGATTCGGGCTTTGACAGCGAGGTGTGGCAGCTGTTGAGGTAAAGTCCCTAGTGACTTTCATAACTGGCAATTATGTGTTTCCTGTTCTGAGTTTGTATCTGATGGCATAAAACTGAAAATCAAAGCCCCGGAGGCAACCTAGGTCAGAGTGTGACAGGAGGCGGAAGTTGTGCACCCTCTGTGGGTGACAGCCACCCTCCCGTCATGCACAGGCCCTGGCTGTCTGTGCCCTCTGGCCTGGTTCTGCAGTTCCGATATGGGTCGCCACTCAGGGCCTCTGGCGGGAAAGCACAGTTTGAGTCAGTGCCTCGCGTGAGTACCTTGGGACACCTGTGTCGCAGCGGTGGTAGAACCCAGGAGGCTTCTGACCCTCAAGCTCACAGAGACACTTTGAGCATAGTACTGACCCTCTGGCTCATGCCTGGCTCCTGTCCCCAATTCCTCAGTGCCACCCTGGTTCCCATTCATCTTTAGCAGGCAAACAAAATGAGGGGGGCATGGGGGCCTCAGATTGGGGTCCTCTCCTTAGCAATAGAGTTGACAAGTGATACCTGGTGAGAGGATCATACAGGAGTTTGGGAAGGTGGGGCCCCATGGAGCTGAACCTATGCTCCTTGCTGGGGACACTCACCCCACCTGCTGCCTAGTTGTGTCCCAAATCATCCTCAGAGCTCAGCCCTCAAGGACCCCAGAGCCTTCTGCCACCTCTGGACCAGGTGGGCTCCTGGGACAGACCTTGCTTAAGGAGCATGCCCAACGTGTGGATCAGTTCTGCCCAGACCCACGGGGACGCACCTATTCTTCCGAGCACTGATTTAGACTTGAGCTTGCTGATCCCAGGGTGCTCGGCACTATTACTCATTTTGCCCTCAGAGCAGCCCTGCAGTATGAAGCGCGTTTCTGCTTTCAGTTCAGAGGTGGGAAAACCAAAACCCAAGACAGCAGCCGCCTGCCCTGCTGACCCGCTCCTGAGTCACAGCTGGACATCAGGGCCCTGAGCCCAACCCAGGACTCACCCCTGTGTGGGAGAGAACCGGGGACACTCGCTGAGTCAGCCTGGGTTTCTGTTTGAAAGCTGGGGCTTTCCCTTCCTCTTCTTCACTGTCACCACCATGGTCACTTTATAAGAACACCTGAGCAGAGAAGCTCCCCGCGCATCACGTCTTACATCCACAAGTCTCTGCTCCCTGCCGAGGGAATTCGGTTGAACTTACCAGTGAGTGGATATTTCAAATTCTGATTCCCAGAAAATTGCAGATGCCACCCTTGAACCACCCAGAAGAACCATGTATGCTTTTCCTCAAGACCACAAGTAGGTGCTTTACTGAAGATTGATGTCACCAAGACAGAGGGTGTAGCCCATGGTCACCGAGGTGTTGTGTTATGGCGCTGCAGAAACAAAGTACTGGGTGTCACTGGGAAATGAAGAATGACCCTGTTGCTGCGGGTGCACAGTTGTTATTGGGAAATTAACAAAGCCCAGTGCTGCGCAGTGTCCTGGAGAAACAGGGGCAGTCTGAATCAGCCCTTCATTCCAGCCGCCTGCTGTGAATGACCTGAAGATCGTCTCAGAGGGATTGTACTGTGGAGGGACCCCTGTATAGTGTAGGACACATGATACCTACACGCGTTCACTAATACACTACATCATCCTTGCCATTCTTGAACTGCTGTGACTTCCACTGACAGGCAATGCAGGCGCCTCCCGTTGA